ACCCACCCCTCTCCTAGAAAAATGAAATATTTTAGGAAATATTAAAAGGGCAGAATATTTCCCCTAAAAGGGAGGCAGAAACTCACCCCCCCACACACCTTTGTCAATGAGCCATTAAGGCCTGAGCCAGTTTATTCTACATAACAAAGATCTACCTCCTTCAGGCAGAGTCATAGTAGGAATTGCCCAAAGCCTTTTCATTACATCATCACCCAGCAAGAGTCAACCAAGCTTGGGACTCAGGACAGCCTACAGAGTTGCCCCTACATGGCCCCAGGACAGTCTGACAAACAAGCAGAATACAAGCTCAAATTCAAAGACCAACTGTGGGTATAATTATCTCTCTCTTTCACCCATGTGCCTTTTTGCTGAGGATCTCAAACCATATGGTCCTGCCATCTTTTCAAGCAGTCTCCAAGTTTCCGATGTCTTTCTCCTCACTTGGAATTGAACCCAGATGGACTTTTCTTCCAACCAAATATTATCTAGTCCAGCGTTTTTCACACCTGGCAATTTTAAGAGGTATGGACTTCAACTCCTAGAATTCCCCAACCAACATGGAATTCTGGGAACCAAAGCACACATCTTAAATTTGCCAGGTTTGAAAATTTTCAAACCAGTCCAACTGATCCGCAATCCAGGAGATACCTTAAGCATTCTTCATTTAAACAAATACTGTGGGGGTAAGACACCTCCAACACCCCTCGGGGTGTATGTTCTGTTAAGATACAGCCTGTTGTGCTCTACTGCCATGCTGGCTTCAACTGTACAGTGCAGTGGAGTATCCATGGTAATGGCTTCACAGTACTCCACAAGGGGGCTCCCTCTGATAAGGGGGAAAATCCAACATAAAAAATTAACATTTGGTCGGGACATTTTCCCCTTATAAATAAATACCTGGGCAACGTCGGATTATCAACTAGTACTATATAAATTTGGGATACCAATTACTGTATATGATGGCAAGAAGATATTGAAAAATCTCACCCTTGCTGCTCTCTTGTGTGTCTGGAGTTCTCAGCCTTAAAAGCTTATAATTTCTTAAAGCTTGTATGACCCTGTTCCAAAACAGATGGAGAATCTCCAGCTTATTTCATTTTGGGGCAAGTTTATGCTTTTCTATATATTAACAGTACTTTCTTAAAATGAGAACCACAGCCTTGGAAAAGGGGTTAATCCAAAGGATTAGGGCATCAAATTAAGGAGAAAAGTTTTGTTGCAGAAAATTACGAGACTCAGACCTCAGAATCAAAAGAAGTTGTCATTTATTTGCGCAAAGGTTCAGAGCAATATAGCCGAAGCAACATCTGAACCCCCTCTTATGGAAAAGCAAGTGCTTATATATTCTTCAAAAGCAGCAAAACATGGAAATGTAACATCTCAGCATTGATTGGTTACATGGTTTATAGCCCCCTGTTGCTATGCTAAAGAAGCTAAATATCTTGCCCGCCCTCCATGCACTGACCTAGGGGATATCCCTAATGTGCCAAGCCGCAACAGCTGGGAGGCGGGCAGAGCACCACATGGCTTGGCGCCTTACGGATACCCCCTAGGTCAGTGAATGGTTCTCTGCCCAGCTAGAGAGGGGGTTTGCTGGGTGGCTGCTCGTGAGCATGGTCACCTCATGGCTGCTTCGCCCCTGAGGCTATGCCCGGCTCTTCGGGAGCCTGCTCGCAAGGGAGCAGCCGCCTGGCAACTTCCCCCTCCAGCCAGGCAGANATAACACTGAAATATAACACTACAAATTGTCTATAACACTGAAATATA